GTTAGTAATGATCCTATCTTCCATTCTCACAGACAAGAAATGTCTTTATCTGTGATTCATCTTTGGTTATGTGCCTCGTTATGTGCAGTGGTTAGGAGCCCAGGCTCTGAAATGACTGTGGGTTCAAATCCCAGTTCTGATCATTACCCATGTGAATTTTGCCTATCTCCCCATATAGAAACTGGAGATGGCAAAAGCACTTTTTAATAAAATGGTTGGGAAGTCAAGATGTTTGATACTTAAAATAGTGCCCAACTCACAATAAATGCTCAACCCCCTTTCCTCACTGCCAGTATCTGAACCTGTTTAAAACTCAGTTCATTGATTCTCCTGAGAAGCATCTCACCATTGGTAGTAGGTAGTTGACCCCTTTCCTCCTTCTTGTCCCACTGTACTGAATCCTTATTAGCAATGTATTATTCTGTATTTCCCATTCCTTGTTCAAATTCATGTCACCTATTGAACTACAGATTTCTCTCACCTGTTTCTCAATTATTTGTGTATCTTAAATGCCTGACACCACATGTGACACAGGCCAGGTATGGTATAAATGTTGGCTGAGTCAATCTAGTCAGTTACTAAGGCCTGTCAGTTTTCTTCCCCGATGTCTTGTCCTCTTTCAAGCTCTAAACCCCTTGCATGAATTATGGCAAAGCTTATTTAATATTGCCACCAGAATCATGAGGTGGAAGTTACTCTTGTCAAAAACTTACCTGTAAAACTAAAGTTCAAAAGCCTCTGAAGAACTGGCCCCAGAATAATTTTCTAGTCCTATTTTCTGTTATTTCCTTTGACGAACACTATGGTCCAGATGACACTAGTCTCTTCCTTCTTCAACATATCCTTCACCTCCACTTATTTTCATGCTATGATCTAAACCTAAAGCAGAGGTTGCAAACTGATGGACCCCAGATTTTTGGGGGCCACAAGTATATTTTTTAATTGAGCCAATACTAGGCTCAATTTTGGGCATAAACACTAGGATGGCCAATGGTTCTTTAAAAAATAAGATTTGGCAGTGTGGGGCCCCTGTTCTTGTGGGGCAACAAACTACCTGAGGTGCACTGCTAGCTATCCCCTTCTCTCAGGGCACCTAGCCAGCTTTTAAAAAAACTTCTCAACAATGCAAATATAAATGAAGAAATCAGGCTAATGGTGGGACACACCAGACCTATCTCCTGATGTTACATAACATAAAGACCACCTCTCCTGTGATCCCTTCTATCCCCAAAACTGCTTAACTTGAATCTCTCAGACCCTGGATCTGTTTAGTAAAAAATAGGGGGAGGAAGTTAAGGGACACTGTGAAGTAGCAATCAATCAAATCCAAAAGACCGCTCTCTAGGGTAACTGGCTCAATCTCTTCAACAGATCACTGTTACAAAAAAGGTTGTTCCAGGAATCTAGATTAAGAGTATAAATGGGGCACCTGGGTGGCTCAGTCAGCTGAGCATCAGACTATTGATTTTGGCTCAGGTCATGATCTGCAGGTCCTGATATGGAGCCCCACGTCTGGCTCCACGCTCAGTGCAGCATCTGCTTAGGATTCACCCTCTTCCTCTTCTCCTCCCCCCAACGTACACATGCCCTCTCAATAAATAAAATATTCTTTTAAAAGAGTGGGGCGCCTGTGGGTGGCTCAGTTGGTTAAGTGTCTGCCTTTGGTTCAGGTCATGGTCCCAGGGTCCTGGGATCTAGTCCCACATCCCGCTCTCTGCTCTCATTTCCTCCCCACTTGTGCGCTCTCAAAAAAATAAAATCTTTAATAAAAAGTATATGGGTGGGCGCCTGGGTGGCTCAGTGGGTTAAGCCGCTGCCTTTGGCTCGGGTCATGATCTCGGGGTCCTGGGATCGAGTCCCGCATCGGGGTCTCTGCTCAGCGGGGAGCCTGCTTCCTCCTCTCTCTCTCTCTGCCTGCCTCTCTGTCTACTTGTGATCTCTGTCAAATAAATAAATAAAATCTTTAAAAAAAAAAAAGTATATGGGTGCCTTGGTCATTAAGCATCTGCCTTAGGCTCAGGTCATGATCCCAGGGTCCTGGGATCAAGCCCTGAATGGGGCTCCACACTCAGCGGGAAGCCTGCTTCTCCCTCTGCTTATGCGTGCTCTCTAATAAATAAATAAAAGCTTTAAAAAATAAAAATAAAGGTATAAAAGATAGTTAAGACACATAACCTGGTGTAATGCATGCTTCCTGGATTGGATCCAGGGCTGGACAAAAATTAGCTCTAAAAGTACTTTTCTTGCGTACCTAGGTGGCTCAGTCAGTTAAGTGCCTGCCTTTGGCTCAGGTCATGATCTCAGGGTCCTGGGATCGAGTCCCACATCAGGCTCCCTACTCTGCGGGAACCCTGCTTCTTCTTCTCTCCCTCTGCTTGTGTGCTCGCTCTCAAATAAATAAATAAAATTAAATTATAATAATTAAATTAAATAAATAAAAGTACTTTTCTTGAGACAACTGGAGAAATGTACATATTAATTTTAAGAATTTGTTATGGTAGTAATGTAGAAAACGTTGATTCTTCAAATTAAAATACCGAGGTAAAAAATTGAAACTAAGCTTCATACTTCCCCCGCCCATTCTCCTGGCTTTCAAAGTCTAGAACAGATTGGCAAACTTTCTACACAGCCAAGCAGCAAATATTTTAGGCTTTGTGGGTCATAGTTCTGTGGAACTACTCTGCTCTGCTGCTGTGATCTAAAAGTAGCCCCAGATAACACATAAGCAAATGGGCATAGCTGTGTTCTAGTAAAACATTTTTACAAAAGCAGGGAGCAGGACACAAGCTCTAGTGTGCCAACCTCTGATCCAGAACAGAGAAGTCTCGGAAACGTGTTTCCTGGCACCTATCTGAGTCAGTGCCTTTCCCTTCCCTCTGTTCACATAATGCTTGCAGATCTACTTACCACATTGATTACATCTTATTCTATCATATAGTTATCTCCCTTGTGGAGGAAGTGCTTTCAAAGCAGGTGCCACTGTGCTACATGACACCCATCCCCACCTGAGTTCCTTGCACGATATAACCAGTGAGTATTGCTCCCGCAAACCAAATCTATCCCAAAAGAAAGATCTAGCACCCTTTGTGACACTCAAAAGAACAAGCAGCAGGTCCTGAAAGTAATTTTGAAGGAGCATCAGGCAAAACAAGAGCACTCCTCATCTCTCTAGATACTGTATATCCACTAGATAGCCCGTGTGTCGCCTCTGCCGCTCCACCGTGGCAGATGTGTTCACCATAAAGCATCAGACCTCGTGTGCACGCGAGTTAACAGACGCCGTGGGCTCAGGGATGTCCTTGCACCCTTTTGCTTTTTAGCCTCACTAGAGTACCTAGAGAGCTAATGGATGTACATTAAGTGCATCATAAACAATCAACAAATTTAAAATATACTACTGTGAGGAACGATTCCCTTTTTCTCAAGACCGAGGAGCAGGTGGCAGCAAACGCCTGGGTCAGGCTTCATCGAGACTTGACAACTGGAACAGTACAGTCACCCCCCGGCCTCATGTTTCCTTTCTTGGTTTGGAGACGCTGGGTAATGGAATCCCAGATTCCAGAACAAAGGTGCTTGTGGGACAATGGAGAAGGGTGTATGCATATCTTCTGTAGAAACTGTCCTAAAACTCCAGGAGCACTTAGGGGAAGATATGGAATTTGGGGCAAAGGCAAATGCTGGGAAGAACACATGTCGGCTACTACAGAACAGGAGATAGGAGGGAGGGTGATAGGAGGTCACAAAGGGCAAAAAAGTGAGGTGCCCACTCCCAGACAGACATCCTGCTAAAACAGAGCTTAGTTCTAAGACAAGGGTATGTTATAAAGCAAGAAATAAGGTGAGAGAAAGGCCAAAGCAGAGGAGAAAGCTTCACGAGAAAGGGAGTGATGTTGGATTAAGAATTGAGAGTTGAGTAAAAGGTTTATTAGTAGTGCAGTCAACATCATGGAACAGCACATATAACACAACCAGCAACCCGCAGAGACACTAGTGCAAGGGGAGGGAAGCCTTAACTGAGCTTCCTGGCTCCGTCTGAGGGTGACAACAGGAGGGTATAGGCCTTGGTAAGGCAGGTGAGGGCAGAGGGGAGCGGAAGAAATGTAGTAACCAGACTAAGTATAGCAGCGATTTCAAATTCCTGAGCACAAGGTCCTGGAGCTGGAACACAGGACTGTTCCCTACTCCCTTCAAGCTATAACCCTCACCCCACCCCATTCCCAGTGGAGCCATGTCCCAACTCCCCAGGCCCACAGCAAGCTGGCCTGGAATAAGACTCCAGAGAAAGAAGAAGCTGTTATATGGCCCTATCTCTTCAACCCCCCTCCCACCTGCTTATTAAAATAATCACACCCTCTATCCCCTCCTTTCTCTTCCTCTACCAGCCACCCTAGGGATCAAGGAATGTCCAGGTAGCCGAAGATGGAGCTAAAGTCCTTAGAGGGCATGGGCAAAGCCAGAGCACAGCCTGTACTCAGAGACAAAGAGACATCACGTCTCTCCCATCTTGCCTAGTGCAGCTTAGAACCCAATTCTGGATCTCCAAGGAAACCAGGGGTGGGGAGTAGAAATGTCTTCAAAATTAATACTCTATAAATACAGAGTTTAACAAAGAGACCCGTGGAAGGGCTGGGAGCAAAGTTCTCCAGAGGGCACAGGCATCGATGCTGGACTATCGTACCCATCACTGGAATAGAAGCGCCTCGTCTCAGATGGGGTTATGGAGGGTTGGGGCAGACAGGTTCACCGAGGACTCCCTTGGCCCTTCCTATATTAAAGCCAAAGGTTGTGCTGAAAAGGAAAAATATAAAACAGATCCCCCACCCCTGGCCCACCCTATCCAGAATCCCCAAAATAGGAACATCAAAAAGAAAGTTTTAAGCTTTGTTAATTTTTTTTTCTTTTTCCTTTCTTAAAAAAAAAAAAAAAGTAAATAAATTAGATAGCCAACAATGTGGCTGGGCTGGAAAAGTGGGGTAGCCATAACCAGGCCATTCTTTTTAAAAAAAAAAAAAAAAAAAAAGGGAGGGAAGGAAATACAAACAAAGGAATTATCAAAATAACTGGTTAGAATCACAGGGCTGGAGAGGGGTCCATGGAACTATTATCAGGTAGGCAGTACCTACCTGATTTCAGCAAAAGCCAGAGAGCTGCTTCTTGCTGGGCACATCCACCCCAACAGACTAATCCCCTACCCCCAATGCTGTCATTCCCTAACGTTGAGAAAACGTAGGAAAGCAGAGCTCATCTGGAAAATTCCGGCATGCCAGCCTGCACACCTGCAGAACCAGCAGGAGCCTGCGCCCAGCAGGTGGGCTGGACAGGGTATTGCTTGGCACAGAGGTCCAGTCTTCCCGTAAGGGCCATCAGTTCCCCTCAGGGCCGGTTACTGGCCTCACTGCATATTTCTAGGGTCGATTCCACCCTTACCATTTCTTCGGGATGTCTGCTTCCCAGAGCTGCCCTCTCATACTGTTTAGTGTCAACAGGCCTGCCCGCTCCAATTCCCTGGTTTTGGAGGAGGGGGAACGATCAGATAGTCCTCACTCCACCCTGATCCTCTAGAGAAAAGGAATTCTTTGTGCTTTCTAAAAATATCTAGAACCAGGGACCCTGGGCAGGAAAAGAGATATAGAGGTGGGGACTTTTCCCAAACTGACTGAAAATTTACAGACATCTTAGGGGAAGAAATTAAGCAAAAGGAAGGAATCTGGGTTTCCCACCTGAAAGGCTGAGCAGAATGCCCTGGGCCCTTCAGTGCCAGAAGAACAGGGAAACGGTGCAGCCCACATGTAGGCCACTATACTGTGGATAGGAGGGAGGACTCAGGGGCCGGCTGCTGGAGTGATGGGTCTTCTGGTCCCCATCTCTTCCTGCTAGCCTGTGGAGATCTCCTATATCTCTTCCACGCCATGCGCAAAGATCATGACAAGGCCCGGCTCCTGCACCATGTCGTCACCCATGTGCTGGTTCTCACAGGCCATCACAACGACAGCCTGCTTGCCAGGGATGCGCTTGGCCACATAGTTCTCATAGTAGCGCCGGTTCATCTGTCTTGTCTCTAGGGTGGCCAGACCCTGCGGCCAGCTCCGCTCGTGGGCATTTTCAATCAGCTCGTTGACGATAGAGGCGGGACAGCCACTCTCCACCAGGGAGCGCTTGATTACAGCCTGGAGTACAGCATCTGGGGTCGAGATCATCCCTCCCCAGCGGGTCACTCTTGCGGGCTGCAGGGAGTTCACCCACCTGTGTGGACGGGGTGGGAGACGGTCACTCCAGCTCATTCCCCTTCTCTGCACTAGGCTTTCTCTCCTAATAGGAAGGACCACCCGCTCTGCACTCGGCCTAACCCTGATCTTCCATCTTCCTTTTTCCATCACTGGTTCAGAAACTCCACATCTCCCCCTGGTTGGTCCCATGTGAGTCACTACTTGTCACTCACTCACCAGATTAAACCCTACAACTGAAGAGTTTCTGTCATTTTTCTTAAAAATCCCAATACTCAGCACCTACGGCGCCTGGCACAAACTAAGTGTTCAACAAATGGGTAGTGATTGAAGCCCCAGTTCCTGTGCCCCACGTGGCGCTATTTGCACATTTATTGATTCACACCTAGAATTTACAGGACTCCAGCACTGCACGGGATTTTAGACTTTGCTTGTGTGTGCTGCGCTTTGGATCACTCTCCTGGATTTGCATTCGCTCTCTTTGGATTGTAAGCTACCTGATGACAGGGACACTATCTCTTTCTTCGTGGTCCTCCTAGCCCTCCACAGCCTTTAATGCAGGGCTTGGTACCTGCAGGTACTTGCTAAAGTCTGGATGGACTGCATCCTTGGGTAAGCTCTCCCTTCCATCCACCCAAAAGAATATGAGAGATTCTCCAGTGGGCTGAAAGTTATCCTCTTCTCTGTTCCTGTCCTTCATCCCAATGTCTGAAAAGCGGTGGCCCCCACCCAGCCCTCTTATTACCCTACTTCTGCCACTCCCCTGCTCCTCCTCCATTCAGGGCTTGGTGCAAGGACATGGAGCAAGGGACTCCGCATCCTGAGTGACACTCACTCTAGGATCTCGTTGTATTCAATTGTCTCCTCCAGGTTCTGCAGGTTGGGGTTGACGCTACGGATAGCTCGCATGTATGCCTTTAGCAGCTGGATATCTCGCTTCTGTGGGAGCGAAGAAGAGTCAGAGATGATGGTTAGCGCAGACAACAAATGAAAGACAGAAGTCTGTCTTACAACGAGGGTGACTGAGGGATCTGAAGAACACCAAGACCTGGAAGCTTCATGAAGATGGAGATGTGACGGTCTCATTCACAGCTCCTTATCCCTGGTGCTTAGCAGGGTGCCTTCTTAGAGGAGACATGTAATAAATGTTAGGTGAATGAATGACACTGATGGGATGAAGGAAAGGGAGAAGAGCTCCAGGCTGATTCCCTCCCAGGCCACAGGCAGAGTATCCCCTTCCCTGGGCGCACACACACCTGTGCAGACCTGCATGCTCACAGGGGCGCTCCTCACCCCCAGTTACCCGTACATGTGCACGGCGTGCATGTGTGTGCGCATGCGTGCGCGCGCGCGCACACACACACACACACACACACACACACACACACAGCTACGCACAGTTACATATCTGTTTAACGCACTTATCTGCATATTAGGGACAGGCTCATGCCTATGTTCTCTGGGGCCCACCTGCTCGGCCAGCTGGTGTTTGTGCTCGGCTGAGGTCTTCTCCAGCTCTGCGATGCGCGTCTGCTGCTGCTGCACCACGGAGCGCAGGTGCTTAATGCAGTTGTGATTTGGCAGCTCATCTTTGGGCATCTCCAGGCTGCCATCCAGAGTGGGCAAGAAAAGCAGAACGGGAGCATTCAATGGGACATGTGGGCAAAGGCAGGAAATTGATGAGAGGGCTTTCTCCTAGCCCAGATTTCGAATATGCAGGCCTCCCTCTCATTCCCTTCGCTTCCTTTTCCCCAGCTCTGCTCCCCGTCCCCACCCCGCACTCCTTTGCTCTCTACTTTTTCTGGGCCTCTTTCCCTTTCTAAGACAGTGTTTTATCTACCACATGGCTATCCTATCTTCCTACAGATTCTGCCTGTACACTCATTCCTCCTGAGAAGCCCTAGATTCACGGCCCCAGCTAGCAGCATTTAATCAAATACTTCACACTCCAAAGAAAGGGAAAACAAAAACAAAAACAAAAACAAAAACAGGGCAAGAGGAAATATGAGAAGCCTAGAAATTAGAGCAGTCAGTCTGAAAAAGAGAAAGGGGGTACCGGGCTGACAGGGAAGAATAAAGGAAATCAGTCCTTATTATTAGCACACCGACTGGGAATTGTTGCCTCCTTTCCTTTATTAAAGCAAGAACGCAAAAATCATAGCTGGAAAAGCATCACGGAAGTGAGATCTCGGGGCAGGGAGGCAGGGAGGCCAAGGACACTTCTTGCGTACATTCAGAGGAGACCTCCTGAGCTGGTGGGCAGGGCATCTGGAGACGGCGGAGTGGGGACGGGGAGTGTGGTTGGTGGCAGGGTTGGGGGAGGTCATAAACCGGAAGGCCCTTAACTGTGTGGGGCAGAGGAAGGGAAGCAATCTCACCCGCAGCCCTGCTCACAGGTCACAGGCCGTTTGGGGTTGTGCTCACAGTCGCTGAGGTGAGACATGAGGTTGTCAAGCCGGACAACAGCACTACAGCCAAACACAGCGTTGTCGCAGGCGATCTGCAGCTTCGACAACATGTTCCGCATGATCCGAGGTACTGGGCGCAGGTGGGCAACCGTCACAACGCTACGGTCCACTGGACACGTCTGCTGCTGAGAGAACCACTGGGTGATGCAGGCATTGCAGAAGGCATGCTCACAATGAGGTGCCTAGAAGGAAGAGCAGGGCAAAAGGGACACAAGAGAATTAGCCGGAGCTAAGAGCCTGAGTATAAGTCCACAAAGCCACTCAAGCTCCTGAGCAGCTGCCAGGACCAGGGGTCCCCAGGGGTCACAGCAAAGTACAGATGTGCCACGGTCAAGGCACTGTGTAGGGACAGGCTTCAGACAGATTTCCTGCACTCAGGATTCCAAATGGATTATGACATTAGACAAACAAGTACAAAGTTATGTAACAATAAGAGGTATAAATAATATTCCAGGACAATAGGAGAGATGACATGAGGCAGTTGATTATTAATTGCCAACTGGATTGCATACACAGTAACTGCCAAAATCCAGAGGAGGATGAGATCTTTCTAGGCTAGGTCAGTCAGGGCAGGTATTTATGGAGAGGACAGAATTTGATATGGGTCTGGAAGGATGTGTGGAGAGGACACAGGGAAGAGATTTAGTGGCAGAAATACAATGTAAGAAAGCAAAGCAAAACAAAACAAAAGACTGGAACTCCTGGTGAGAGGTTACGAGTCCTCTCTGTAGGGGCCCAAGCTCCTATCTTGTGAGGGTTGATCTGAGGCATTGCCCTGAATCTTAATGGGAAGGCCTAGCCTCCAAAATAGGGTCATTTTCTCATAGAATCACATTCTTTTCAGTTTCATAAAGATCGTATTTCAGCTTACTTTCTTGATAACTCAGATAAACTCTGAAATTAATCCCTCAAAGTTAGAGGATTCCCAGGCTTCTGTGGAGACACCATCTGCATGGGACAAACACAGCAGGCACTTAGTAGTTGATGAATAAATGGCATGCCATGTCCCAAATACTCTGCTAGGTGCTTAAGATACAAAAGACAGGTTTTGCCTTCAAGATGCTCACAGACACCAAAGACTGGAAACGCAGAAAGACCTTGTAAGAGAAGAAGTCATTCTCAGGGCACCTGGGTGGCTCAGTCAGTTAAGTGTCTGCCTTTGGCTTAGGTCATGATCCCCGGGTCCTGGGATCAAGGCCCATATAGGACACTCCACTTAGCGGGGACCCTGCTTCTCCCCCTCCTTCTGCCTGCTGCCCCCACCCCTTGCCTTGTGTGCTCTCTCTCTCCCCCTCTGTCAAAATAACATCTTGGGAAAAAAAAAAAAAAGAAGAAGAAGTCATTCTCAATGTCACTAATCCAACTGTCAGTAGATTTTTATTTTTCATTCAAAGACAAATCTGAGTCTTTTCAAAATCTTTACAGACCCTATCTCCAAAAATAACCCCCCAAATTTGTCCACTTTTCCCCATCTGTCCTGCCACTAACCCAGTTCAAGCTATCATCTCTCACCTTCATTACTAAGTACATCTTCTAGTTGGCCTCCCTACTTCTACCTCACCACTTTGTAATTCAGGCTACCTTCATCAGCCAGAGTGATCACCTCAAAATGAAAACTAGATCTTATCACTCCCCTGCTTAAAACTTTACAATGGCTTCTCATTGTGCTTAAAATAAATCCAAACTCCCACTCAGGACCTATAAAATTCTGCTGGATCTGGCCCTATGCCTCTGACCTCTCCTCACCTCACACCACGCTCCCAACACTGTGTTCAGGCCATTCTGGCCTCCTTTCTGTGCTTTGTTTACATCCAGCTCACTCCTGCCCCAGGATCTTCACTTTTGTTGCTCCTCTTTGCCTGAAATGCTCTCCCTCTAAATCTCAGCATGAATGTCCCCTTATTATTCAGATCTCATCCCAACTGTCACCTCTCTCATGACCAGCCCATCGAATCCTGCCACCCCTACAAAAATATACAGAATGTGCTATGTTCTGTGTAAGAAAAGTTGGACAAATAAACTAATACAAAGAGTTAACCGTCGGGGTGGTAGGGATTACATGGGCTGGGACGAGGACGGGGACTGTATGCCTTTTTATACTGTTTTGATTTCTGAACCGTATGAATTTACTGCCTATTCAAAAATTAAATAAATATGTCGGGGGTGAGGGGGACCTGGCTGGCTCAGAGGAGAGTGCAACTCTTGATCTCAGGGTTGTGAGTTTCAGTCCCGTATTGGCGGTAGAAATTACTTAAAAAAAAAAAAAAATGATGTAGGGAAATCAGCATTCCCAGCACGTGCCTTCTACCCTTGGTATGTGGCTGCTGACCCGGCATCCTGAGGTCTGCCTGACCTGCTTGCTCCTTAGAAGGCAGGGGTGGGAGAGTGGGTGTGGCTCCTGACTTAGACTGTCAAGAACCAACACTGACTTCTCCACATGTGACTCACACCTCAAATGACAGTGCCAGGGGAGGGAAGGAACTGACACAGCCCATGACCTCTTGACACCACCAGGAGAGCTAGCTACATATCCAGCCAATCTGCTTCTAATGGCCTAGGCAGGGAATAGGTCCAGGGCTAGAGGCCGCTGGAATGCAGTCTGATTTTCAGTCAGCTTGGGCATCTGCGCTCCTTTGGGTGGTGGAAAACTGGAGTAAGAATAAACCCAAAGGATCAAGAGGAGCCCCTGGGAGCTGTATAAGCAGTGAGTGGGGGAAGGGCCATGAGACCTCACTGACTAGTGTCCTGGTTTGGAGAATGGGATTAGGTCTAGCTAGCCAGGAGTGGCAGAGGATTAACTGGTATTTACAGAGGGCGGCCAGTAAGAACCATGCAGGATGACATCCACGAATACTATTGCTAAGGATTCATCTCCCTCATTATACTTGCCTGTTAATCAGGAGTTTCTCCTCATACTTGCCCCAGGAAGACAGACTCTGGTCTGGCAAGGCTTGTAGAGAAATGACCTAGTGAAGGGGGCAGCTTTCATATCAAAATGCAGAGTACAAGGCTGCATCAAAAATTGTTTTTTCTAATAAATCCCAGGAAGAAAACAGGACAATACATACAGTTCCCACTCCCTGTTAGTTAGTAAGTAGGCTGAAAAGGCCTGCAGGCAAACCGGCTGATTAAGTGAAACATGACATTATCTTGAGAGAGAACTTATCGGGAAAGTCCAGAAGTTCACTCATAGCTAGGAAGATGGAACCTAGTCAGAGCCCCAGCAGAGGAAAGGAAGTTCCTGAGCTACTGTCAGAAGACAGAAAAAAATTTCTGACCAATGTAGTGGAAAAATCTCAGCCCGGCCTCAGAAAAATCTGGAGCTCTGGACTTCTGTGGCATCTGCCTCTAGACAGACTCTGAAGACCCTGTTCCTTTCATAGCCGTCACTACTCCTCTGTACCAAACCTCTAGTCTCTATCCGTGTGGCTGTCAAGGGGGTTGGGGGACGGGAGCCAGAACACAGTGCCTTCCCCATTGGTCCCATCGCCTATATTTTCTATTAGCGCCACTGTCTGGCACCCCCCCCCCCCAAACTGCCATCAGACCAACTCACCTGGACTGGCTCCTCCAAGACCCCACTGCAAATAGGACAGATAAGGTCTTCGTCAACATCCCCCTGGAAACGGGTTACATCATACCCCATGTCTCATCACTGAAACCCAGGACCTAGAAGGAGCAAGAGCGGGGGGAAAAAAAAAAAGCCAGTTCAAAAGAAGCTAGAAACATGGGCCAATTTGCACTTACTGTCAAGATCCATTCATTTGTTCAACAATTATTTACTGAGCACCTACTATGTGCCAGTCATTTGGGGGGGTGGAAATCTGACTCAAGAAACTTAATCTAATGGGAGAAGATAATAAATAAGCATACATTTAAAATATGAAATGACAAATGCCTTGACAGGGCATTATGAGGGCAAAAAACGTGGATACCTAACCCAGGCTGGAAGGAGAGGGTGATTTGGGGAAGTTTTATGGGAGCAGGTGTCATCAACAGGACAAGCAAGAGTAGCTAGGTGTTGGGGATGGGCAGGTAAGGGCATTAGCATTGGGCATTAGCATTCAAAAGCCCAGAAGCAAGAGGACATATGATGGATTCAGGGAACTCTGAGTGGTTCAGAAAATGGCTGATCTGAAGGACCCAAAGGAGGGAGTGTCTAGATACAAGGCTAGAGAGGCAAGCAAGGGTCAGGCCACGAGAAGTCTTACGTAAGGAGTTTGGGCTCTATCCTGAAGGCTATGGGAAACCACTGAAAGACTTCAAAGGAATGATGCAATGAAAGTACTCTTCACTCTGTCAACACGGGTGAGACTGGAGACAGGAAGAACGTGTAGGCAGGAGAGAGACAGAGATAGTCTGAAGTTAGGTAGTGGTGATGAAGATAAAGAAGGGAGGTTCAGGAGAGCAAAGATTCAAAGAGCAGGGAGGCTGCCGTGCCTCTTCTTCAGGCTTTCTAAGGGTTAAATCCAAAGACGTCACTGAACGGTGACTGAAACCCTCCTGTGGATTTCCAACTGGTGGGCTAGCTGGATTGAGGATGGGCACCTAACACAAGGGCAGCCACACCACAGACCAGCCATCAGTTGTGATGGCCTAGAAAAGACGAGATAAGTAAGAGGGTTCTCGGAAATTTAGAATCACACTGTCTGACTTAAAAGGGCAGAAAGAACGGGATGCAGAAAGACCTCGCAAGGTCAGTGCAAGTTGAAGTACAGCACTGGATTGAGTCAAGTGACTGGAATAATTGGCTGCTATTCACTAGGCATGTGACCTTGGGCAGGCTGTATCAACTCCCTAAGTCTATTTATTTTTTTAAATACATAAAATGGGTATAAATAATAACAGAAGTGACTTTCACAGAGTTATCCACAAAGAGATGATGTATATAAAACATTTAGGGCCGCTTGGCTGGCTCAGTCAGGTGAGGACCCAACTCTTGATTTCAGTTCAGGTCGTTGTCTCGGGTCATGAGATCAAGCCCTGCAGTGTCCTCTAAGATCAGGAGGAAATCTGCTTCTCTTCTTCCCTCCTTCCCTTTGCCCCAACCCCCAGTAGCACATGCTCTCTCTAATATATATAAATAAATCTTAACAAAACAAAACAAACACATATTTAGCAAAGTGCCTACTGGCCCATAGCAGACACTCAACATACAACGGTTATCACTATTTATATGCATGTTTAATTTCTACTACTTGATTAAAAATTCCTTAAGAGCAGGGGCGCCTGGCTGCCTCAGAGCACGTGACTCTTGCTCTCAGGTCATGAGTCTGAGCCCCACGTTGGGTGTAGAGATTACTTAAAAATGAATAAATAAATTAAAACTTAAAAACAAACAAGTAACTAAAAATAAAAATTCCTTAAGAGCAGAAACTTAGGTTCTATGTCTAATGTAGCACCAAGCAGAGTTCTTACATGTCACTAAAATGTTTGGTGAATTCATATGCTGCTTTCAGTAGGAGCTTCCAGCAGTGAGAGCATATAATCTCCTATTTCACCTAACATCCCATTTTCTGTAAATAGCACCAGTTTTTCTTTAGGAATCACAGCCTGCCTCCTTGTGGACCCAACCCAGGACAGTGAGAGTGATGCCTGGCACCTCTATGGAGCTCTCAAGGGTGTCTTTCCCTGAGGACTGCATAGCTGGTAGAATGTATAACCCAGAGTGGTCAGAGATCATTTCTGCCATTAATGAGGAAGGTCTGTTTATAGAATGAAGGCAATAATGAAGAAAGCAGAGCTGAGGGGCGCCTGGGTGGTTCAGTCGGTTAAGTGTCTGTCTTCAGCTCAGGTCATGATCCCAGTGTCCTCAGATTGAGCCCCATGTGGGGCTCCCTGCTCAGTGGGGAGCCTGCTTCTCCCTCTCCCACTTCTCCTGCTTGTCCTCTCCCTCTCTCTGTCAAATGAATAAATAAAATCTTAAAAAAAGAAAGCAAGCAAGCAAGCAAGCAAGGAGAGCTGAGAGATAATTCAGATGAGATCATTTAAGGTCCTGCATTCCCCCATGCCTGAAGCCACAATCACCTTTTGAACACAGTTACATGAGCCAACAAATTCCCTATTCTGTGTAGGCTAGTTTGAGCTGGGTTTATATCTCTTTCAACTGAGGAAAATGCTGGGGACGCCTGGCCTGGCCGGTTCAGTTGGTAGAGTATGCGACTGCTGATCTCAGGGTTGTTGAGTATGAGCCCCACCGTGGGTGTGGAATTACTTAAAAAACAAAAAACAACCGAACAAAAAAACCCAAGCCAAACCCAACAAAACAAAAAAATCCAGTAACGGCTAACAAGGCTAACGGGTACAAGAAATCCCTTTATTCATTTTATACAGGAACAATGACACCCCATGACACTGCTTCATTTATATTGACCTCTATCACTGCCATTTCTCTATACACTTTGTTCCTCCTTTTTTAGGGCCTAAAGCTTATAAACAACCCCTCTGAAACTGTCACTGTCTACCACCTTGGCCAGACTATATCACATATAAAATGGGGTGGGGAGAGGGTACCTACCATGTACGTGTCTCCCCTCAGACCTCTGATCTGTTTCAAGACCAACATAATAGGGAAAAAAATGGAAGCAAAGGATGTAATTCTCTTGAATCTACAGTGATGGATCAGGATGAGTACATAAATAGTGACACTGAAGATCTAACACAATAAAATGTAAAATCCAGAACCAAGGTCCCTGTGAGTCTCCTTGTCGCACCTCACTGAACTGTACGAGGATGGAGGTGAGAACAAGGGTAGCCCACGGTGTCTTTGTTCTGTGTACTGCAATTACTGGGAGCTGCAGTGGGCCCCATGGCACTGATGCCCCTGCAGCCACACTCAAGGGCTTGTGCTCCTCTCTCATCTGTCTGGCTCTGGTGGAGGCTTAGTGCTACGTAGCACTTAGACCTCCCCCCAAGCTACAGCTGATTGGACAAAGGGTTACCCTAACCAAGTGGGGCCAATGGAGCCTATCCCTGAGAATTTATTTGAGCTGAACTCTAAGAAAATTAAGTTAGTCTTTCTCTGGTTGTCATATGGACTGAGGAAGACAAAAATCTACAGATGGAAAGAAAAGCTTGGAACAGAGACCGTGAGAAAGGCTCAGATAAGAGCTAGAAAGTGTCCTGAGGCTTCAAGTACCTAGTTTGTTCCCAAGGCCTTCCTGTCTTTGGTTTCTGTGAAACATCGTAATATCCTCTTCTTGTTTATGCTACTTTGAGTTGGGTTTCTCTACCTTACAACCAGAAGAATCCTGGCTTCTACAATAGCAAAGAAATAGCATATTAATATCAGAAGTCAGACAGGGAAGGATAAATTAAGGGCAATGTTTTTCTTTAATCTTAAACCTGTTTAGCCAAAAACCATACTGTAAAACAATCTACATAGTATTCACTTAATAGACATTTACTGAGTACTATCTTTACATCAATAAGCCTAATAAAACCTAGTCGCTGTGAGGTAAATGAAGAGGAGGAGAAAGCACAACGTACTAGAGGAACAAAGAGGGAGTTCTACCATCAAAAAGAATGAAAACTTGCCATCTGCAATGAATGATGTGGATCAAACTAGAGTGTATCATGCTAAGCAAAATAAGTCAGAGAAAGACAAGTATCCTCATGATTTCACTCACATGTGGAATTTAAGAAACCAAACAGATGAGCATAGGGGAAGGGAAGGAAAAATAAAGATAAAAACTGAGAGGAAAGCAAACCATACATGACTCTTAACTACAGAAAACAAGCTGAGGGTTGCTGGGAGGTGGGCAGGAGATGGGATAACTGGGTGATGGGCATTAAGGAGGGCACATGATATGAGGAGCACTGGGTGTTATATGTAAGTGATCATCACCAAATTCTACTCCTGAAACCAATACTACACTATATGTTAACTAACTTGAATTTAAAAAAAAAAGAGGGAGTTTGAGATCAGACTAGGGATGGTCAGAAAGACTTCCTAGAGGGACGCCTGGGTGGCTCAGTGGGTTAAGCTGCTGCCTTCGGCTCAGGTCATGATCTCAGGATCCTGGGATCGAGTCCCGCATCGGGCTCTGCTCAGTGGGGAGCCTGCTTCCCTCTCTCTCTCTCTCTCTCTGTCTGCCTCTGTCTACTGTGATCTCTCTCTGTCAAATAAATAAAATAAAATCTTTAAAAAAAAAAAAAAAGAAAAAAAAAGAAAAAAGAAAGACTTCCTAGAAATGTCTCTCAAAATATGTTTAGAACAAGGGTTCACAACTATAACACTAGAGGCATTTGGGCTAAAAGTTCCTTGTTGTAGGGGGCTGGCCTGTGCACGTAACAATGTTTAACAGCATCCCTGGACTCCACCCTCTAGAAGTTGGTAGTAGTCCTCAAATCGCGACACCCAAAATGTCTCCAGACATTGGCATATATCCTCTGGGGAACTAAATCACCCGTGGTTGAGAACCACAGGTTTAAAAAATGAGGAGCTAGCATCATGGAGCAGGGTATGGGTCTTCTAGGTAGATAAAATAGCATGAAGCAAGAAGTCAGCTAAGGGTTTGTGCAGAGATATGCTGAAAGAAGTGCACAGAGAGGCAGGCAGGAGCAAAGCACTGAAGGCCCTGGGACATTTCACCAGACTTAGAATTAACCTGAAAGCTATGGGAGGTACCTGAAGGATTTCCTTTGTTGACATATATTTATATGTTTTA